AGAGATGGGGTAAGGACATTGGTTCTTGGGGTAAGATGTTTCTATTTGAATGACCAGAGAGAACAAAGAAAAATTATCTTTTAAATATATGCTCTAATGCAAATTCTTGGATGAGCGGCTCTTAGACTGTGGTACATCTGCTTTTGTAGATAAGGACAGAAGTGGCTATCACAGTCTTTTTAAAGAGAAATCTAACCATAACATCTTGGGCTGGAACAGGACACTTACAGAATCTGGAAACAAAGCTGGTGTCTCAACTTCAGTAGCAGAATACAGAAAGGCAATGTATTTAAAATGTATTCTAACTAGAGTGTTTTACCTTCTTCTGTTTAAGATGGAAAGTCAGGAGGCAAAAAACGCACTATATTTAAAACGTACATCACCCCCTGGGAACGAGCAATGGGTATCAGCCCCGAGGACAAAAGTCAGTTCACCATTGACTTACTGTCATATAGTCCCAAAGCTGATTTCCCCCATTACAAGTCTTTTAACCGGTAAGTCTTCTTGGTTATTCAATTCAGTTTATTTAGCATGAGAAAACACAATAACCCTGGCCATAGCACTCCTGTTTTGTGCAATGTCAGTAAGTTTAAGTTGCATGTCATTTTGCTTAGCACAGCCTCCTGTGGATGAAACGTTTGGAGGCCTACAAAGAGAAGATATGTTAAGAGCTACAGATTTTAATTCAGCTTGTGGACAGAAAACCTACGCAGCTGGATAAGAGGACTTTAATCCTATTTCCCTTTCTTTCTCGCCTCATTTGACCAGGGAGATTTAGTTTGCCACTGTTTATTACTGCAGCCATTTAAAGTTCAGGAGTTCAGGAAAAATACTTACTATCAGAAGCCATATACTTCACAGTACTTCAGATAAGAATCAGGATCTTCCTGCTGCTTCTGATAAGAACTGAAAGTTTTACAAATATTTCTAGAGCAGCAACAATTTTCTGTTAACCTCTCTATATAATTTTGCCACCCACTTCCATAGCCTCACGACATCAATACTCAGGACAAACCCAGATCCCACTCATTTTTGCAATAACATAGCCTCTGCCTCCTACATGTACAGGGTACCAACAGGTGTGAAAGGTGTACGGATTTGTTGGCCAGTCAACTGCAACAGTGATAAAATTTACAATCTCAATAATTTTATTTTCTAAATCCCATTGTTTACCTATGCTCTGCTCGCTAACTCCATGTATTCCCCTGTGCCAGGACTGCCATGCCTTATGGAGGTTATGAGAAAGCAGCCAAACGGATGACCTTCAAAGTGCCTCAGTTTGATATCTGCCCTTTGCTTCCGGAATCTCTCATGATATATAATCAAAATTTCAGCAACAGACCCTCCTTCAACAGAACCCCAATACCTTGGATGCCTTCAGGAGACTCCTCTGAGTACCATGCTGAGGTCAACGTGCCAAGGAGTGGTGAAACAGAAGAGCTGTAAATCCCCACAGCCAAGTCCTTCCTTTTTTCTCAGCCCTTTCTACTTGCAACTTGATAGTAAGGAGCTGAAATGTGCAACTCTAGTCCTGTCAGCCCTTCCTTTCTTTTGCCTTTAGCCCAGACAAGTTCCTAGCAGGTTCTAAACTTGTATTTGCTGTGGTGTTAAACCATATAAGAAGCAGTCTGAAGGAAAGGAGCTTTTTATTCACCAGGGCATAAAACGGCAAAACTAGGAAGTGTTTTTCTGTTTAGCAATGCTAAATGCTGCCTGTCTGCTCCATAATAAATCTGTTTTGTCATATATTAACAAGTAATAAAATACCAAGAGGAAAAAAGCCTTTGTGTTTTCTCTTTAAAAAATGCTGCTGAATCAATTTGGGGATTAGCAATAACAAAAGTTTCAATCTCACAACTAGACTGTTAGCATGGGAAGAAAGATCGGGGACTGATGGGCATGGTCATAATATAGGTATACATCAAGGTGGCTTGGATAAATACTGCAAAAATGATCATGAAGAATGATGATTTTGAGAGGAAATTATACAGGTAATCATAACAGCATCAGAGATCAAATAGCAAGTCAGCCTGTCAATGTAACACACAAAGTATTTCACTGTCACCTAAGATTCCCCAATTTTCCGGAGTATAAAATAAGTGATAGCTTAAGCAGGTTTTTTTTTCACAAAGAGAGACCAAGAATGCAATAGGTCAGGAAGGAACAGAGCTACACCCAAGTGAGATGACTTGCCCATAGTTACAAAGCAAGAAAGAAAAAGCTTTAATTACAACAGAAATAATTTGACATCTGCCACAGTGCATTACTTATTCAAATACACAGCATCAAAGTATTCCATTTCTTGTAATAGCTTTATCAATACCACACATATAAGAAGAAAGGCAAGCACTGTGGAAAACCAATAAATAACCTTATTTTTCTACATGAAACACCTTCTGTTTCGTGAACATTTGACTCTGACACATAACACACAAGACTCCTGTTTCACTAGCATACCCTAGTTCAGCCTGCATGGAGACTGGTGCCTTCTTTACATCAACATTTCCTCTTTAAACAGGGCTAAACAGCTTACTTACACAGACAGCTTCCATTGAAGTATTTTTATTTAGGAGCTTTTCCTCCTTGTCTAGAAATCCCTGCAATCATATTTGATTTTTATTCTGTTTGGATAGTTATGAGGTTGGCTTTATTACACTCCTCTAAAAAGCTACTGCCAGGGCTACCCTGAGATCTTAAAAACTGTGGAAACAACAACAAGCTGCAGAAGTAATGAATGAGTAGTTTCCTAACCTTTCTGCTGAAATGGCTAAAGAACATTTATTATATGTCCTATTAAATGATTAAGAAGTATCCATAACTCAGTTCTGTGATTAAACTTAAAAACATTAAGATGGTACTTTGACCTTCTGAAGAACATTACAACAAAAATGAAAAAGGTTGTCTTTTTTGACAAGTTCCTACAAAGTATTTGAAGTTTGAGTTGAAAACAAATCCTCAGAAAAACTTGTTTCTTTGGATAAAATGGATTCAGAAATTAGTTGAAAAGACATTTCCACACTGCTTTTCTTTTTTAATCCCTACATAAATGCATGCAAATTTCATGGGTGAAAGACATTTAAATGGGAGATTCTCACATACTAAACTATTAGTTTATTCCATATTTGATCTCTGTTTGGAGGTAAGGTTGCTGTGAGTTTTCCAACATTTTTAATCAATCTAGCTTTTTCATCTACATTTAGTTAAGGAGTAGGGATTTCTTTTCCAGTTCGAAAAGTATTCCAACTATATTACAACAATCCAGGCTACAAAGAGAATACCAGAAGTTCAGAAAGACAGAGAAAATTTCAGAGAAAACTAGGTGAGAGTAAACAAAATATTTTCCTACCATATATGCCATTTATTGCCTCCCCTTTTACAATACAGATCTTAGACTCTTGCAATATAGAATCACATGAACTTAAGTGAAATACATGATGCTTCCATGATAAATATGTCATGCAGCAGAAACAAAGTAGTTTCGTACCTGGATGTCATGGTCTTTTTTCAGTAGCAGCTATTCCAGATCATGGGCCAGTTAAGACATGTCAAAGTGCAGAGAGGGCTGGCTGCTCTGAGGAGGGGTTAGCACACAAGCCCCCACATCTGAGCATGGCAGGCAGAGCTGAGTGCTGATGATGGGGTCCATCAATCATCCCAGACATGGTGAGGGGATGAATCAGGCGCAGGGGCCATCCAGGGAGTCTGGTCAGGAGCAAAAGGAGACAGGGCTGGACACAAGCTACACTGTGGGTCTCCATCTATGAGACAGGCTAGCAACAGTACAAGTCTCAGGTATAGCCAGGAGACAACAGTGCAGGCCAGCACCCCTACAACATAGCTCAGACAAGTGCCCCAGGCCCAAGACTGAGCTTAAATGGAGTTTCTGGGCCATAACTGGGATGAAGGTCCCAGGTGAGGCTGGTCAGGGCAACTAAGGGCTGTTGATGCACGCAGCGCAATGATACCAAAAATGTTTGGGAATTCCAATATAATCACAACAATCATTTGAGTTCTACTGGAGCACAGAAAAAAAAGACTAAATAAAATAGGTCCTTAAACATGCAGGGAAAGGTAAGAAATACTGTGCAGAAATAGCACAGTGCTCTCTGGTGGTGTAGTTTCAATGTTCCCACATACAAAGGCGGCAGTGGTATCCAGCAAGTAGGTCAAAGGACTGGGTATATACCTGAAGCTCGCTCTGGTTCATAATGTACTGTTTGACAGGAGGTTTTGTCTGTGTGCTCCATCATCCCAAACCCTAAATGGGGATAAAAAGTTGCAATGTGCTTGGAATTAGTATTGTATCATTTCAAATTATTAATAATATTACTATAATTCATACTTGTAAGCTAAGAGGATCCTTCAGTTTTGGTAAATCTGCTTAATGAGGCATATAGCTCTGCTTTTGCCAGTACACTTGCAATCTCAAATCCTGTCAAGCAGGATTTATGTGCTTTTATTTCTAGTAAAAAATGGGAGATACAACACTACGTTTTTTAGAACAATTCTGACAACTATTGTCTTGCTGTTAACATAGCTTAAAATATATGCTAGTTTAGTCATTATTCAAAGTAACATTAAAAGTGAGAAAAATCAGTAAGCCAAATTCTGTCTCAAAAATAATTTCAGTGAGGCTTGCAGCTACTGTAATCAGGGCAGAAGTTTGTTCAAAATGATCAAATATTTAAGAAGTAGTAAGTAACTGCTCCTGCTCTTTGTTTTCCTTGGGCTATGATGTAGTCTCAGGGGAATTGCCTATGTCAGAGAATTATTTATATTGGGAATAAGAGGATTTTATAAGATTTAATTACAGTGGATTTCCCCCACATACTAGGAGCTACAGAATGGAAACTCAGTCATCTGCTTTTAAGCAGGATCATTGTAATTCAAGATAAAAAAGAACTAACAAATTATTGAGCCTATCCTCTTGTAAAGGCAGGCTACAGCTCCCTCATAGAGGATGTACTGGATATTAAGCTGATACTCCATGGAACAGCAGCCAAAAATCCATTTAATAGAGAGGGGCTGCCCCATGAAAAACAGAATGGATAGAATTTTGTGGAATATTATTTTACAGTTTCCAAGCTTTGAAATCTTTCTCTCATGTAAGGCAACTTGTATGATAAAGAATCCAAGCCATACTGAAAGTGTGTAAAAAACAGTGCCCATGTTTTAACGTAAAAGAAAGGCGTTTAACAAAATCTCAGCAATACTATCCCTAAATATGGACTCATATTAAAATCTTGCCTGAAGTTATAGCTGATGGCATAAATATTTGGCAGATAGTAGCACAGTTGTTATGCTTCTGTGTTGCACAGAAAATCTTCCATTTGAATGCAATGTATTCCCTAATCAAAGGGTTTGCATCTCATACTTGTCTCTCTCATGTGAGCAGCTTGCCATTAGTGATGATGATGATATAATTCATACAACTAACATCTGGGAATTACATTTGATGTTGTTATTGACGGAGCATTTAGAGGACATGGCTTTGTCATTAGGCTTAGTGACTCTCTGAAATAAAATTTGGAACAGTTTCAGGCTGTTAGTAGAATACGGGCTTTGTCTTGTTTTACTTTTTTTAAAAATCATACTGTGAAGACATAAAATGTGTTCACTTTTCTTACACAAGATGGCAGGCACCAGACAGCCAAAAGCCTTAAGATGATCGATCTGCTATGGAGCAAAGAGGTCTGGGTGTGGCTTTCCCACCATGGGAAGTGCTGACTTGTGGCACAAGGGTTGAAAATTCACTGCACTGAGGTTTTTTTCCTGCCTAGCTTGTCTGCAAGTATATGTTCTCTTCCACAGAAGACTGCCACAGGTGAGATCATCCGGCAAATGCCCCACTTCCAAAGGACTGCCCCTTAGCAAAACAAGCTGCTGTTAGCACTTCTCTGGCAATTTATGGAGTCCATTGCTGCCCATCAGCAGCATGTATGCTCATTTCTCCTGAATGAGTATTAGAAAAGTTTGCAAGCCAGCCTGCTGGCTCACAGTACATTAATACATTTATATGCAATCTCATCTATGTCCAAATCCTCAAATTGCAGGTTACAAACTAGTTTAGACAAGTTGCCTATTCTGTCTTGGACATGTGCCTGACCAGGACCACAGATAATCAAGCAGAATTTGCAGACACATGCAGAAGCAAGATTGCACACATTTTGTGGAACCCTACAACTTTTGTGAACTGCTGAGTGTGTGGGATTTGAGACACTATTAATTATATCCATGTACTAGTAAAAGTCTCTTCAGCTGATGTAATTAATTAGCAGTGCCTTGATGCTGTACCTCTTGCTCTCTATGTATTTAACACACAGTAAGTGTTGTCTTTTCTGTGATGATCATCTTCTGCTTGCAGTACAGCTTACATGATGCTTTAATGAGTGCAAGTACTTGCTCAGATATATATTGTGTTAATTAACACATGCAGTAAAGGGAAGAGAACTACATAAACCACTCTGAAGCAATGCTCTTAAAACCAGTCTAAACTCCAGTCAGCTTAATAAACAA